CAAAATAGCTGTATTGTTCAAAGCAAAATCACGATTCTCCATAATACATTCATCTTTTATCACACAGATATTCTCCACACCAATGACACTTGTAATTTCTCTCATTCTTCTTAATATCCTTCCTAATTTCCTTCCATGACTTAACATAATTTATATTTGTCATAGCAATACCAAAGTATTTCATATTTTTCTCAATCTTAAAACTTTTTTATTCTTCCATCTTTGTGGTTTTTTGGTTATTATCTTCATTTTCTCATTATTAATTTTAAATTGAGCTAATGCACCAAAATCCTTTAATCTTTCCATTAATCATTCCCTTTCTTTAAAAGTTTTTTTTCTGTAATTATCAGCAAAAACTCATAATTTATATTTCCTTTTTAATCCTCATTCAATGTCTTTCTTAATTTTACAATCAGACTAACAACATTAGGATCTTAGAATCCTTACAGATAGTAAAGTGTAGCAGGTCATGAGATGTTGCATAGCCTCTTGTCTTAAGGGACACAGTCTTAGTTCATAGAGTACTTTTTGGTATTGGCCCACCAGAATGGCTGTGGGCAGAAAGTGAAATGCCCTTAAGAAGCTGTCAGAGATAGCAGTATTAAGATGGCTAAAAAGCTGACAGAGGTAGCAATATCTTGGTGATTTTGCCTTTGGGTCAGGGTGCAGTTTTGTATTCCAGGAGAGGGAGTTGAAAATATCACAGAAAAGATTAACACATTTAAGAAGCTGCCATTTCAGATACCTCAAACAATACATTTCTTACTGAGAACAGGATTGTCTTTGTTAGCCAGAATAGAATGGAATGGAATGGAATGGAATGGAATAGAATAGAATAGAATAGAATAGAATAGCAGAGTTGGAAGGGACCTTGGAGGTCTTCTAGTCCACCCCCCTGCTTAGGCAGGAAATCCTACACCACTTTAGACAAATGGTTATCTAATCTTTTCTTAAAAACTTCCAGTGTTGGAGCATTTACAACTTCTGGAAGCAACTTCTGAAAGCATGGGACTTGCTCCAGTTCCAAGTAAAAAGAGGAAGCTTTGATCTGGCTTTGAATGAACAGAATTGGGACCACTGGAAGACTCATTATCTGAGCAGTGTGGAGAGGTAAATTCATCTAGAGAATGTGCAGAGGGAGGAAACGCAGATGGGAGAAGGAATAAAGCTGGGTGGAATATTTTAAGAACCACTTCTGAGGTTCAGAAGAAGTTCTCTAGGGAACATTAGTTGATTTAGGAATGAGCTTCAAATGAAAATACTTGTATACACTGTGAGAACTAGAATTCACTTTTCTGAACCTAACAGTATCTTATGCTATTAAGGAGTTCCCATATAGCAAATATTATATAATTATGGCCAAGTTTCAATGAAGTTAAAAGCACTTATTTTCCTTTTAGAAAAAAATCACAATTTAAACTCTGAAATCTCTTAATCTACCTAAATCTAAATTAGGGAGGTCTCTTGACAGCAGGGCACCTCTACAATAACTTCAATTTTCATAGAAATTGTGCGCTAAGAAACAGAGGCTAATTTATCGTGTTTAAACACATTTTAGAATCAACAAGTACAGGAACTTTCTGGTTTAATTACATGGAGCTTAGCTCCAAAACCACTGCTACTGTTTTTTCAGAAACTGGGCAAAAGATTCCACTCAGAAGCATTTAAAATATCTGAACATTTAATTCCATTCTATAAAAAAGTTAAAAGGTTATAGTGACATGTGGAGTTTTAAAGGTATGCATTGCTTTCATGAAGTTTTGAGTCAAGTATCTTTTTGAAATGCTTCAAGAAAGATGCTTCTCTTCAGTTCACCTATGATACTGACGCAACAAACACATATAGGTATTCCTTGACGTATGACCTTTCATTTAGTGACACATTGGCACTATAAACATTGACTTACAATCAGTCCTCACATCTACAACCATTGCAATATCACCCAGCTTAGCTGATAAGAATTCAGGCACTTGGCAATTGGCATGTGTTTACAACAATTGCAATATCCTGGAGTTGTGTGATCTCCATCTTCCCAACCGGCTTCCAACAAACAAAGTCAACAGGGGAAGCCAGATTCTCTTAATGACTATATGGTCCAACTGCAGTAATTTGGTTAACGACTGTGGCAAACTAGGTTGTAAAACCAAGTGCAACTTACTTAACAACTGCCTTGTTTAGCAAGGAAAATTCTGGTTTCGATCGTGATTGTAATTCAAAGGTTACCTGTAACCAGTATAGCTCAACTCTTGTCACAATGTTTTGGGAACACAGAATACCATAATAATATACTGAGACTGAGAAGCTAGTTAAAGTAGAGCACCTCACAAAAGTAGTAAAAGCACTTTAAGTTCCACATTCATTAGAGACATTGGAAAAGGGGCAACTCACATTAGATTTGGATCCTGGATCAAGTCAGGTAGTCTCTGATTTTTCCTAAGTTAAACTTTACTATTTCGCAAGAGAACAAACTTGTGCCCGACCCAAATCTTATTGTCAGTGCATATCCCTACCAGCGATATACATTCATCTGTGTCTAAAATGTGTCTATCAAAACTCTCGGAAAAAAGGAAAGGAAAGTTTACTTCAAAGTTGAGGTTGGGAGTAGTGAAATTGGGAGGAAATATCAGAAAGATTTAGACAGGACTTGTTCCAGCTGGCATCAATATACAATCCGGAGAATAGCAAGCTCAACATATGTCACGAGACTTTTCAGCTACTGATCCTCTGCAGCAGCTTACTCAGCTCTTTCAAATGGAGCTGTTGATTCCCTCTGCAGTCATGTCTCCGTCTATCCATGGGCTGAATTGGAACTTGGACACTGTAAAAGTGTAGCCTACTTTCATCAAAGCCACAAGCTTAATCACAGTACAGAACTATGAGATTTTAAAATGAATGCAGATTAAGTTATTGTCCTTGTCCCCTTTTGGGTATGTGCGAAGGGAAAGGTGAAGGATGTAGCAAAGCCTAAAGCATAATTTATAACATTACAATTTGATTAGAATAATGTGCACTATGGTGTCCATAAAGAAAATCATAATCCTTGGAACAGCAGCATTAAATGGTTGCGCTCCCAGTCTAAAATCCTTTTTACATCTCAAGGTATGTTTTGTGCTTCTGAGCATGCAACTTATTCAATGGATGGTAAACTGGAAATCTTATTTAAGTGTCCTTATTTAAATTACCTATAGATACTAGATTAGACTCTATGTGTAGGATTTTCTTGTGATAGATCCTACTTTAGCCTTCCTACAATGCTCTGTTATCAGGCTGTATTTCAAAAATGATTTGAAAGGGCCTTAGAATTTTGAATTTCTCTCTACTATTCTTTAAGAGAGCCAGGTCTTTTAAAACTTCCTAACGATAGGGCTGCCTGCATGTGTAATACAGGCATATTTTTGTTTCTTGCCAAAACCTTGGAAACTTATTTATTTTGTTATAAATGATACATAAAATGATTGTGATAGGTAAGAAATTGGACCAGGTATGACCCCATAGCAAATCAACCGGTAAATCGGCATGTAAAAGAGCAGTGAAGTTTAGCACAATGTAATTTTGGAATGTCATGAAAATTAGAAAATAGAAAATAAAGGATGAAAATAAATGTAGAAACTAAGGATAACGGCACTTCTAGGTATAAAATGAAGATATATATTCAAACTTTGTTTCCATTCAACTTTCACTGTGTTCTGTTCAGTATTATTGAAGAGAACAACTGGACATATACACTATTGATTATTCTTAGGAAAGAGAAAAACTGATTAACTTGGAATTGTAAAAAAAAACCTCTGAAACATTCTATTCCACCTCTGGAACATACTGAAATTCTTCTGGTCTATGTGTTTCAAAGTGCTTTGGTGGCTTCCAGGAAAACATCTTCTGGATTAGAAGCAGTTTGAGACGTCTTGAAGATAGGAACAAGCTAAGCCTGGAACACCTCAACTCACTTCCACTTTAGGGGATTTACTTCAAAAATTGCTGAGACATTCTCAAAATGCCTTGATCTAAAAGAGGTTGGGATGGTTTGGAGGAAGGGTATGAATGGAATATTTTAAAGTTCTCCAGAACATTTAATTTCTAAATTGTGGAGCTTTTCACTACCTTATTTGTTCTGTTTTTATTGTTATTTTTGTTTGTTTGCAAAAATAAAGAATATTTCTTGGCATTTAGCCATTTGATCTGAATTGAAAGTCAATGTACTGTAATGGCTCACTTGGGCTAGGAACATTCAGATTCAAGTCCCCTGATATCTGACTTTGGACCAATCAGCTTCACTCAGCCCAACTTATTTCATAGTTGTTTTATGTACTGTATACACACACACACACACACACATTGCAGAAAGAGAAAGGAAACATGGCATATATTTAGATTTCTTCTCAAATTTCTAATATTTTTGTAAGAAAAAGTATTGTTTGATTGCTTCTACATTTCTATCTGTACTTCACTTTTGATGATAGTGACAGTTTTGAATATCTCAGCTAGCACATATTTTTGGATGGGATGCAATGGTTCTCTTACTGCAAAATGGAATATCTATCTATCTGTACGATCATTTGCTATGGTTAGGTTTGTCCAATATATTTTCATACTCAATTTATTTCTTATTTATTGGACTTGGTGAAAATAATATATTTTTAATGAATAAGTAGGTTAACTTTATATTTCAAAACTCGGAACAAATTCTATAAAAAAATATTTCAGAGTTACAATCCTTTTTTTGAACAGAACAATTTGCAAGGAATTAAAATACAATTGAGCTAAATTTGCAATACTTCACAATCTGATAACACAAACCATAACACAACTGCTAGTATAGTGTGTCTGTTCTGGTTTTTTGAAACATGTTTATTTTTATCATTGAAAGCATCATGTAGGTGGTGTAAAAACAGAAATGTGGGTAATTGTACTGGATTGTGAGTTCTTAAATAATTTAATTCTGCCTTCAAATCTTTCTTCCTCCTTTGTTTCAAACATCATATCTTCTTTTCTTTTCACTCCAGATCCTTGAAGAGAACATGAAGTTGGAATGTAAGTGCCATGGAGTGTCAGGATCATGCACTACTAAAACATGCTGGACAACTCTTCCTAAATTCAGGGAGCTGGGCTACATCCTTAAGGACAAATACAATGAAGCTGTTCAGGTTGAACCTGTGCGGGCAAGTCGTAATAAGCGTCCCACTTTTCTGAAGATAAAGAAACCGCTCTCCTATCGTAAACCGATGGATACAGACTTAGTCTACATAGAGAAATCACCCAACTACTGTGAAGAGGATCCTATGACTGGCAGTGTGGGTACGCAGGGCAGAATGTGCAACAAAACAGCCCAGCAGACCAATGGCTGTGACCTGATGTGTTGTGGACGAGGTTATAATACTCATCAATATTCCAGAGTCTGGCAGTGCAACTGCAAATTTCACTGGTGCTGTTATGTCAAATGTAACACATGCAGTGAACGAACAGAAGTCTACACCTGTAAATGAAAGTGTGGCTTTGGCAGGGCAACCTAAAGCCTTGGAGTACACACCTCTTTTTGCACATAAGCTCAGTGTATCTAAATAATACTGTAGCAAAGGCCCAAATGGTTTCCAAAAGAAAATCCAGTAAAATAATCCCATTTCCCCTCCTCCCTTTTTAACAGTGTTTATGTGGATATTGGTCAAAGACTTTTAGGAATAGCCCAAAAACTACACCCAGATGTTTTAAAAGGAACCCAGAAACAAGCTATTTGCCTAATGCAAAACTTTAGCTAACATAAACTATACAAAAATAAAATAAATTGGAGAAATACTCAAATAATCTGGGCCATCCAAACATTACGGACTGCCTTAAAATTCTGGGAAAAGTTGAATTTCCTTGGAGGAGGCATTCATGAGGCCAGATGAAAGGGATCAAAAGACCATGCAACATGCCTAAAGTGTGATCTGAGAAAAAAAACCTCATATTTTAAGAGGGGCTTTGTCCACAATTGGGCAACAACGCACCTGTGTGAATTTCCATTGAAAGAGTGTGGGTTATGCAGTTGTAGGGATTTCTACATTTGTGAAAAACTTCTGTTGGTTGTTCCTTGTATTCCCATTCTTCAGCCTGTGCTAATGCAAGTAGACCAATGGGTGCTTCCCATATAAACACTGGTTTAGCTGCTTTTCTGCTCTGCTGCTGATTTTAACACAGTGTGTTGGGAAATCTCGGCATAATAATTATAGCAATATTTAATCACTTTTGCAGATAAAACTAATATTAATTTATTTAATTAAAAACCCTCTACCACCATTTTTTGGAAGCATTCTGCAATTAAAGTTTAGCCTGCTTTTTTGTGGAATCATTTTTGTAGATTCAGTAGAGGGGAAAACCCTTGAGGTGTATATATTATTGTTTACTTAGGTATTTCTACTAGTTGCAAATGCAGGATAGTTTCTGCAGGTATTAAGTACAAAAGCAGGCATCTTTTATAATTTTTGGGCTGTATGCTGCTAGTTGTCTGGAATCTCAAATTGCTATTCATTCCTCTATATATCACAGTACACAATTTTTCCAATTTTTTAAAAAAGATCATTTCAAAAATCCAGTTGGAAATAATACATGATCTATCAATGCAAAATGCCAGACAAGTTTCCACCTTTGGAAAAGGAACCATGGGATAAAAGAATATATTTTGTAAGAGACTATTTTTATATGAATATTTTATTTATACTATATCTGCTTGTAAAATTCTGTAACCTGTAATTTTTCTCAAAACAGGCAAAGCATTTGTAATTCATAGGCTATTTAACAATTAAGGCCAATTACTTCGTTGACATAAAAAGTAACAAGGTGGTGTATATACAAAATACAAAATGAATTTTCTCTCCGGATGTATGTACAAAGTGGCTCTTTTCCTACAGTTCAATTTGCAGAATATGCAGAACAAGAACAGAGTATGTAGCATCAGTTTTGTCACAAGGCTTGAATTGATGGTTGGAATTAACTGGATGCTCCTTTATCCCATTCAAAGAGAGAAAGAGAGAGAGAGAGAGAGAGAGAGAGAGAGAGAGAAAGAGAAAAAAATCTGAATTAGCTTCCCAGATGCGTCAGTCATTAAACTGTGGCATTATGACTAGCAAATGTGCTGTGTGTGCTGTCAGTTAAACCTCTATATTGTGCTACTGTCAAATTTGATTTTATCAGGGTAAGACTGTGGGTGATGACTATAAAAACTAGCATGACACACATCATCTGATTCTCATAGATAAGGCAAAAAGGGTTTTGTCCAACTGGTTTTTGGCATTTCCCTTACTCTTCCATTCCCTGCCTCCCAAATATTCACAAGTCATATTTAAAAAAGCTTTCAATTACCCATCTATTTCTCCCACCCACTTGCTTCTTTTGTAGTGTTTGGTTTTTACACTTCGGCATTTCCTTTCTTATCCCTAAGATTTTCTAGTGCAATTATGCTCAATTAAATAGTTTGCTTTTGTGGCATCATTGTGATCATTCTGCCAGGATCCATTAGCATTTGATCCCCAAGTTTATAATTTATTAGTATTTCTGGCTCTCTGCAAACTGATACCATGTTATCACCACACAGGAGACAAACTAGATGTTTTGGTCTTTTTCTTTTTCTTTGGGGTATTTAACAGCAGGTTGCACAAGAAACACATCAAAGGAAATTTTTTTAAAAGAGAAGAGAATCTGTTCCATATATTTGCAGTATGTTTTACACAGTGATATGAAGTATTCTGCTAAGGTACTTTTGTGAGGGAAAAACAAGAACATTGGGGACACGCTTCTAATTTTAGGGACTTAAAGAATAGAGTGCTTAAGATGACATCTGTGTTTGTACCTGGATGGACTGTTCATTTCCCTTTCTGGAAGGAAATTTTCTTAACTTCTTAAACTATGTAAAATGCCATTCTGCTAAGCTCTCTCATTTTCCTGAACATTGCTTTCCAAAAACAGCCCAGGTAAGGCTCTTTATATCCCAGGCTGATTTTGATATATTGTTATTTTGAAAAGTAAAGATTTTAGAACTGAGGTAAAATTTTAAAAGGAATTGCATACAAATAGTTGTATCTGACCTTTCTGCATTTAAAACAAAGCAAATACCTAAACCCATTATTCCAATTACACAGGTGAGTTTAATTAAAATAAACTTCTAAATAAGGGTCCAGTGCTGAAATGGCCTACCTACCAAGTTGGGAGGTCAGTCTGTTCCATAAATAGATTGATCTCCCAACCAGAAATTATGAATCTAGTAGTTTATTTAGAGATACTGAATAAAATAATGAACTTCAAAGTTAACTGAAAATCAGCACAAAGCAAATCATTTACAGACCAATGTGAAATAGGCCATTTCTAGCCTTGACATTTTAAAATCTGCTAAACTACAGAAATTGCATACAAATAATATACTATGTAAATCAGGGCAGATATCATACAGTTTAATTTTATTGCATGTAAGCTTGCTGGTCAAGTTAAACTTTGATTGTTACTCCCAAAGGAGCAAGGCCATTGGCCATTTAACACTCCATGGAACATAAAATTTGCTAAATGCAGCTACTGTCAACTTTCTGTCAGAACCCTGAGAGCTAGTCTTATTAAGGTGTTAGAGAGCAAAGGTAAGAGTCCCTCAAAGACAAAAGGCCTATTCTTTTCTGAATAATGTCATTATCACTGAGGAAAAATAAAGCATGGAACCATCATAGAGAAAAAAGAAATGGAAATCCTCCTCCTCCTCCTCCTTCCCCCCCATTTTCATCTTCATCTTCCTGTAGCCTGGCTGCTACTCTATCTCCTGCAGATAATCACCATTACAATTTTACTTAATTTCTTTGAAGTTGTGCTAGACAAGATTATGAGGAAAAGAATTCCAGAATTAAAGCACCGCAGCTGAAAAATACTTTTACAGGAGAAACTGGAGCACTGAGAAGTGTCTTCAGTAAGGATTCTAATAGTTGCAATTTGGAAGAAGGGTATCCTTAGTGTTTCAAATATTCTGAAGTCTTTAAATGAAACTCCAAGACCTTAATTGGAACTTGGCAACTAACCATTGTAGCCAGTGCACTGTTTCAAAATGATGAGTTATTCTCTACAAGCTTGATGCATTTTAAGCTGCTACATTTTGAATTAACTGTAATTTACAAAAAAGTACCTCAGGCATATACAAAACACCACAAATATAAATGGAGCATTAAGCAGATGCCTATTATTGTAGCCAATCATTCCTACCCAGAAAATGGCTAAAATTAAAATCTAAGTGTGATCACTAAACTCAGTTGAACACCAAAATCTAGTTGAACTCCTATGCTGGTCTATGAATGTAATAAATATTTTGATTTGAGCGTCTGAATTTAAGAGGAAGGACCTTTAAGAGGAAGTGAAATCCCATCCAAAAAGGCCACATACTACTTAATCCTACAGGAGAGCAATACATTTGCAACTGTATTTCTGATCTGAATTTAATTTCAATGTATTTATCTTCATTCTGTCCACTATTGATCACCGGGTCTAGTTTAATTTTTCCAGTTTCATTGGAATCTGATAAATACACTGGTGGTGCTCTATTCCACATCTTTTTTTTAAAATAAAGTTTTATTTGGGTTTTCACACACAAAATATAAGTAAAACATCTTTTTTGAAAATAGCATGGTCCCGGGTTGAACTTCTTTATACAGACACAAAACTCAATTTCATGCTCCTTTTTGTATTCTATTCCATATCTTATACTATTTTACATTTTCTATATAGTTTTCCCCTCTTTTAATTTTCTCAATTTTATTTTGATTATTTCATCTCAGTTCAAATCATTATATTTATACTTTTGTCTGTTCTGTTTCAATTTCATATTATCTTTTCTCATTAAACAAATTTTCTCCTGTAGTTACTAATTGGAATATGACACCTTTATATCTTTTAATTACATCCATTCAACTCTTATTTAAACTTCAATATATACCTTAAGTTTATGACCTTCAATATAATACATAATACATAACTTCCAATCGAATTCTGCTTGGCACATTCTTATAATACACACTATATTCTTTAAAAAAAAAAGAAAGATTGTAAATATATGTAATTATAAACCCTCATTTCATTCCAGTTCAGTTCTATCATTAATAATCATTAAAACCATAACATCTTTAACACTTCTTTTCAATTAAATATCATATTTCCTTAAAAATACATGTAATCTCCATAATTAATTTTTCCCTTATTTCTCTTCACATATTAAATATACCTTTTGTTACATTTATTTATTGACAAGCATTCCACTGAATTACGACAGCTATTTTATCAGACATTTTAATCATACATTGTTTCATATTTTCTAAAATTATTTCTGCTTCTAATATAACCATACTAAAGATGTACCTTTGCAGAATCCCTTTTTCCATTAAGTTTTCACCCATTATCTCTAAATAGACCCCGTTTCTCTATATTTTGCTTCTGTCCTTTATAACTTCTTTTCCTTTCTTTCTTCCCTCTCATCTTCTCCCTCTCCTTTTTACCCCCTTGTCTCTCTAGTTCTAATTCTCTCTTCTGCATTTCCCTCTTCTGTTGCTTTCTGATTTTATAGTAAATTT